GTACGAGGATTTCTCGATCTTGAACTTCCCTGGGGTTGATGGGGTGCTATCAATGTGCTTCATTTGTGATGGAAATCCAGCACCGACAGTTGGGGATTTTGGAAAGCTCTGCGTTTGATTTGGAAATCCCTTGCCAAAATGCGATGCTTTTCTTGAAAAAAAAAAACACACAAAAAAAAGGGGGAAAATATTAGGGCTCGAGAAAATTTGGATGAATGTTGAGCTCAAGAACGAAGATTGGAGATGGCGGTGCTTTGAGCCTTTGAGAGAGTTTCTTATTTTTAGTTTGATTTTTAATTTTTAATTACGCTTTTTATATGGAGAAAATGAGAATCTTTCTGGTTTTCTTGGAGCAAATTGGTGCCTTGGTGGATGGTGGTGGTAGTGATGAAGGTGTAAGTAATTTATTTTATTTATTTATTTATTTATTTTTTCTTCTTGTTTTTTATTTCCTATTTTTTCTAAATTTTATTTGCTTTTAGAGAGGGAAATTAATTTCGGGGTTATATTATAATAATGATTGGATTATATTAAACTAGTATGTGATTAGTGAGAAAATATAGGGGAATTTTTTTGGTCTTGTGGGGTGGTAAAATGTGAGGGAGATTAATGAGGTTTGAAGAAAATTCAAAGAAGGATTGATTGAATAGTAAGAGAGTCAAATAAATGAAAAGGGAAAAGAAAAAGACAAAAGTATTAAGAGAGTCAAACAAGACTAGAAGATTGTCAAATTAATTTAAGAGATTATTAATGTTGATGTACATGATTTGTGTTATTTAATGCATTAAAATTAAGATTAATACAACTATTCATTTTTAATTAAAAAAAAAAATAGAGTTTTGTCCAATTCATTTTAACTTAAAATCACATTCATTTTATTTTTATCTCAAAAAATATACATGTCCAGCTAATTTTAACTCATCAAATCCAGTTGTGTTTGGTGAAAAAAAACACAGGCACAGGACAGCTACGCTCATTCTTTTCCTTTTCAAAAGGTGGTGCAATTAAAACTTGGAGAAATGTTCACCTACCCACGATGCGCACATATTAATATGTCCACCGCGTAGGTGGCAT